TTTCCTCCCTCCCTCCTTTCCTTCCTCCCTCCCTCCTTTCCTTCCTCCCTCCCTCCGTTCCTTCTTTCCTCCCTCCTTCCCTCCCTCCCTCCTTTCCTTCTTTCCTCCCTCCCTCCTTTTCTCCCTCCCTCCTTTCCTCCCTCCCTCCTTCCCTCCAGGCCTCCTCCTGTCTTCAGGACAGTGTTTTCCTGGAGGAGGAAAATGTTCGGGTTGGTTTGTTGTTTGCCTCTAAAGCTTTGGTCCAGCTGCTGGTCAACCCGTTTGTTGGTCCGCTCACCAACAGGTATTATCACATTAATAAACCCTTTATAAATTGTGGAAACATTTATTATTATTTATTTATTATTATTATTACGCTGTTGTTAAGCTAAATAATAAAGCTGGTCTTTTAGAAGTTGGTCTGCTGTTTTCCATTTATTAGTCATTTTTCTGCTGTTTATTATCTGTTAATTAGTTGTTCATTAGTTGGTTATTAGCCATTTATAATTCTGTAGAAACCTCCCAGTATTGGCTCTGACTTTCTGTTTAGATCGACTCAAACTGGGTCAGTGTTTGTCCTTGTGTGTCTGCAGGATCGGTTACCACATCCCGATGTTCGCAGGATTTATCATCATGTTTGTTTCCACCATCAGTGAGTTTTTCCTCTCAGACTCAGACCAGCCTCCTGCCGAGTGTTTCCGCGTGTCTCTGACTCCAGGTCCCTGTCAGTGTTTGCTTTCTCAGGGACGTACCCGCTGCTGTTCTTCGCCCGCTCGCTGCAGGGAATCGGCTCGTCCTTCTCGTCTGTGGCGGGTCAGAACCAACAAACACGGACAGAACCTGTAATCAGTCACCACGCAGCGACTAGCCGTCTGTTAAGTTAAACTATAAAACATTTGGGATCCGTTAAGGCAGAATCAGATGAAACAACAGGTCAGAGGTCATAGAACAGAACGTTAGAGATGGCTGCAGTTCCCACCCTGAACACTAGATGTCAGCGTTGGTTCCGCAAACGTCTCACTGCTCTGGTTTCACCTTCAGGTCTGGGGATGTTGGCCAGCGTCTACACCGACGATGACGAGCGAGGCGTGGCGATGGGCGTCGCCCTGGGAGGGCTCGCCATGGGAGTCCTGAGTGAGACACACACACACACACACACACACTGCGACCAGGTGTGTGTTCCTCTGCGTCAGTGTGGGTTCATCATGTCCGCCTCTGTGTTTCAGTCGGAGCGCCGTTTGGCAGCGTGATGTACGACTTTGTGGGGAAGAGCGCCCCCTTCCTGATCCTGGCCTTCCTGGCTGTGTTTGACGGAGGTAAGAAGTGGCAGAAGGAAGTGGAGCCCCCTGCTGGTGGGAGAGGTGATGATCAGGTGTTTCTGTGTGTTGCAGCGTTGCAGCTGTGCATCCTGCAGCCCTCTAAGATCTGCCCTGGGGTGAGTCCAGCACTGATCCATCTGCCCCCATCCACCTCTTCTCCTCACCTTCTGTTAGCTTCTGGGCTTTTCCCCAGTTCAGTTCTGGTTCTGTTGGTTCTGACCCGGTTGGGTTTGTGTGTTTCAGAGTGTGGAGGGAACGCCGCTACTGACCCTGCTGAAAGACCCGTACATCCTGATCAGCGCAGGTACAGAAGCTTTGGTCCTTCACCTGGAGCTGTGGAGGACGCTGTCCAACTGTCCGTCTAACTGTCCCTCCACCCCTCCATCCCTCCATCCCTCCACCCCTCTGCTTCTCCACCCCTCCATCCCTCCATCCCTCCATCCCTCCACCCCTCTGCTTCTCCACCCCTCCATCCCTCCTCCCCTCCATGCCTCCATCCCTCCACCCC